CGCCCTGCAAGACAAGGGAAACTGCAAATAGTAACTTGAAGTGAGAGTTGTTAGTCTGATTATAGCCATAAAACCATCTTCACAGCAAGGGATGAAGGCAACAGGGATGAAAGGGATTGCTAGGGGTCAGATGCCCAAATGAGATGCCTTGAAAGAAACCCTGTGGGCAGTCAAACACAGAGTTAACCCTGACACTGCAGAAAAGTTTGTCTTGTCTAGACTGATCCTATTTTTAAGGTTACTAGAAAAAAAGAATAGCATGGAAAGATAAATGGTGACAGAGCTGGATCTCAATGTCTACGTCATAACAGATCATCAAATTCACACACATATATCTGTCTCATTTATCTCCAGGAAACTGATATTTGAAAAGCCCATGGGTATAAACAGGAAGGTCTGCCATGTGAGCTCATAGAGCTATAAACAATCAAATCAGCTCTCTGAAGGAATAGTAACCAAGGTCCTGACAAGGAATCTCTGTTGATTGAGATATGTGACGTGGTGATACCATCCCACCTTTGTGGCAAGCATTTTAACAAATATTATAACACTACCAAGGCAGGTCCCTGCATTCATCATCAGAACTCTGACATGTTCACATTTTGATGCCTTTTTTTTTTCCTAAATAATAAACACTTCCAAGGAAGACCCATGGCAATACATGAGGATTAAACAGAGAGGTAAAAGAATCTTGGCTACATGTACTAAAAGAAATATTGAAACTGAACCCTCACACATGTTCAAACTCATGCTCTTCCGGATTCTAAAATCAACAGTATAACTTGCACTGTTTAAATAAAAGTTAAAATTTTCTTATATGTCAATGCTGAAAAAAAAAATTTGCAGTTATTTCTAATTATCAAGAGCAATGATGCTAACCACTACTTCTGAATGCATTTGTTGTAGTGAGCTGTCTGCATTTCTGTTTCTCTAAAACAGTTCACAAATAATCCTGTCAGATTCATTCCTTTTTGTGTTCAAACAGGGTTTTTTTTTTTCTGTTCCACAGGTCAGGTGATACTTTGCTAGTCTTATCTGTGCCATGTGTGACTCGATTTGAAAAAACGACTTCAAGTATATTTTGTTTTTGTTTCTTTTTAGTTTTGAAATGGCATTTTTATTTTTAAGTGACAAAGATACTATGTGCTTTTTTATGCAGTGTCTTGCTATTTTAAAGGTTCTCATGTCATTGTAGATACTCTAATGCCATTTCACTCAAAGAAAGATGGCATTTATTTGGAAGGGATTGAGTCATTGTCAGCTACCTGGAAGACTGGTATGAATCCGACATCGCTCTGACTGGCCCTGTTTGTTTATTTATTTGCACTTCAATTTCTGTCAGAAGTTCTAAATAAATTTACAGTAAAAACACTACTGCTGTCACCAGAAGTGAAAGGGTTTTAGTGAACACAGGTGGCATTAGTGAATACCAACAGCAAACATTGCCATGACTTGAGGGAAAAAAAAAGAAAAAAGTGAGAAGGGAGACTTGGCAGGTTACCCAGAGAGTCTAATCCACATGGTGGGGGGGAAATTCAGACTAGAAGTCCTTGAGCTCTCCATGAGAATGACTGGCTTCTTCCCTTGAAAAGATAAGTACATTTACCTCAGCACCCCAGCTGTGAAGTTACAACTTGGGGAATGATTTGCTTGTCAACACCAAAGGTTACAGCAGAAGAAAGAGGCCCGAAGATGTGCTCACAAGAAATCCTGATGAGCCACCTTAGGAAGTGTGTTTCCATCGTTTGTACATCTCCACAACAGTGGTGTTTATAACACCTTGATCCAATTCATCTGTTCAGCCTGCACGTAGATTCATTGTTCATTATCCTGAGATCACTTCCTAATCTCCAGGTACTTCACAGTCCTGACTCTTCTACAATGTCAATAGGTTTTGAAAGTAAGAAAACAAAGTACTCACTGCTTTAATTTTGATTTGCTAAGTGAAGTTAATGGTAAGAACCCTTTTCTCTGTGGTATGACTTTTAATATGACTATTAAAACATATCTCACATTGAAGTAAGGAAAAATTTCAGACTTGCTAGTAAAAACTTTCACGTTTTCCAGCAGCCTAGGTAGCAGTTTCCTCAGACATTTTACCCCATAGATTATGTATCTGTAAGCAGTACCTGTAAACAGACCTTTTTTTCCCCCAGGGCACTGAAGTTTCACTTCAGAACAGCCATAAGTCCTTTAATCTTCATAAGCAAAATAAAAAAAAAATCTCAATAGTTGCCTGCTATTTACATTAACCTTCGAAAAGGTCTTCTGTGTTCTATATATTCAAGACAATTTTCACCTTTATCTGAAAAATTCAGATTGATACTAAAAGCTGCATGTTTCCAAACCAGTACCACTCCTCATAAATTATCCTTTTCCAACAGAACAGTTGTGTTGAGAGTTGTTTTACAGGAAAACAAAACAAAAAGAAATTGAGACACTATATTTACTAGTATGTATATATCATCCCATTATAAATTACTCTCTGTCTGACCAGTTACCTTTAGATACAAAAGTTTCTAACAAAAATGCACTCGGGCATTAGTTGCTTTTAGACTCCTGGGTTTAAAATGTGTCTGAGAGCAGATGTTCCAGGAGAGGGTGCAAATTTCAATTCGGTGAAGTCTAGCTTTTTGGAACCTGGGAATAAGATACTTTTGAAAATTTTATCCATTTTTTTTTTTTTTTTTCACAGAATCTGCTGAGCTGGAGAGGACCTACAATTTCCTTACTGGTCGTACTTTTGCGTCCATACTTTTTTGTTAGATTCTTCTTTCATATCTTTTTTTCTCATCATATACATTCTTTCCTTTATAATATTCTTTCTGTTTTGTGTGGTTAAAATCAGTTTGCAGTAGAGGCTTTAGGAAGAGCTCCTTTGAATATCAGAGAAAAAAAGAATGGAATACCAGAGAAAAGAGAATATGACCTTATCCAGTTCTTGTGTGTACATATATATATCTGAACAAGAAAATGAAGTAATTAACATTACCTCTTTATTGGTTAGCTTACCTGCTTCTCAGAGAGCGGACTCCTGACTTACCAAAATCTTGTAAAGAATTTAATCTGTATTCTAGAGGTTTCCCTAGATGTCTAGAAGCAATTTCAACTTTTCCCTCTTATATCAAGAAGGAAATTCAAGCCAGTGAGTGAAGAGCATTCAGAGCAAAAGGCATTACATTCAACAACACTTTAAAAAAATTAGGCATGCAGTGAAAATGCAGCTTGGAGGTAGAATGCACGTTTTGGGCAATTATAGGCGAGAGATTTTTTTTCAGGTAGCACGTTATTTGTGCTGTCTCATTAAACTGACAGCTTCTTAGACAGGGGAGAGCAATTTGACTTAATACGATATTTATTGCATACATATTGCCATTTGGACACTGTAATTCTTTAGTGGAGTAAAATTAAAAGCATGGGTTAATTGTGGGTATAGCCAAAAGTGAATTTCAGGAGAGATGACTATGTAGCAAGTCCCTTTAAATTAACAAGACATTGTGTGTGTGTGTCTGCAAGAAGGAAAACAAATGTTACCAGTCATAGGAGATATTTTGGCACACTAGTAATTGATTAAGTATTTTCATAGACTTCCGACTGTCTAATGTCTATATTCTTTTTGAAACTTCAGTGATTAACTTTGTTTGTTTCAAGAACCAAAGTACCTTCTGTGACCAGCACAACTGAGGTATTTGGACACATCTTCAAAAACATGATAATTTAATTGATTCCTTCTTGGTTTCCTTGTCTGAATCCATAAACTTCAGAAACAATGTCATACATTGTGTTAATGTCTTGTCTACTATGTGTTTATGTCCTTGTTACTTACTTTATTTATTCATTCTAAGCCTTTCACTTTTGTAATAAACTTTTTTGTAATGCAATAAATTCCTGAGAAAAATACTGCAATGTTACTTCAACTGCAATGTTAAATGATTTCATGGGATGTGTCACCCAGCATTCAGATTACACAATTTCTACTTAGAAAAAAACCAATAATACTGTATATCATAGGTAGAGGAAGAAGTTTATATTTAAACTGAATGGATTCAATGAATCTGTCAGACTACTAGGAAGAAATATGCCTTTTTTTGTTTAAGTGCTTTACTTAAAGCAGCTTCTCTAGAGAAGTTTAATATCCTTTGTAAGGGAAAAAGTTTATTGGTGGTTTTTCCTTTGTCAATCATGCTGTTTTTACCAGTGCTCTTTTTTACAGGAGAAATTCCTCAATAAAACCTTGCAAGTCATTGCTGAGTGGGCCCTGCACACCAGGTATTCCCAGAAATGGTACAAGAGGTTTGGGAGAAGACCTTTCGCTGTTTAAAAACGTTATTTTCTCCATCTGGCCACATGTAAACCCAAGTGTTTTCAATGTGTTTTGTCCTTGTCTCCTGTGTTCTTTTCTTTTCCCTTCTCACATCTCATTTTTCAGTGCTATGCCTCTACTTTCTGCACTTCCCTCCCTGCTCACTTTCTTTATTGCTCCCTCTTCCCATTTATTCAAAACCAAGGCAGGTGCTATGTAACCCCACAGGAGTACATTTTTCACTCTCCCTGAGTACTCTAATAGCTGTTTCTATCAATGCCTTATTTCTGTGCTGGACTTTTCCTGTGTCAACAGCCCCACTGAGTTTAGTGCATCTACACACCCAAGTGAAGTTACTCAAAAAAGGTTTTGAAGCATTTGCTGGATGAGAACCTGCAACCAGGGCTGGCATTTTTATAGAAATACTCAGCATGTGTTCCAGTCACTGCTTAAATATCAGGAGAGCCCCTCACAATAGGGTTTGTTGGACTGAAGTGATGCACAGACCTGTCTCAGGCGCTCTCTATTTACAAAGAAAAATAAGAGGAATTGCTGAGCTCAGAACTATGCTTGATCATATTGGAGGGAAAACAATAATGAATCGAACATTCTTGGGCAAAATTTGTGAAGACTAATGCAGAAAGTTAAAGGCTTTTTTATTAAAATTATAAAAAAGTATCAAAAATTATAGAAATACCTGGTGTTTCTCTTTCTGTGCGCTTCTGGCACATAGCATTATAGCTGAAAAGTGAAAAAGAAAGGGTTATGTTTTGCCCTTGAGAGTGATAATATGATTACAAGAAGACAGTTTCAGATCTGCTGAATATTTTAAACCATACACTTTAATGTGTGTTTCATTAACTTTGGGGTGGGAATGAAAAGAGGGCTCCTTCATGATTTTTTCTTTTTTTTTTTTTTTCTGTTCCACTTCATTATTAATCAATGATGCCAAGCTGTTCACCAGGATTGCTGCTAGCAGTCTTGAACAGCTTCTGCCAAGTGTGATTAATGCAGATCAAACAGAGTTTATTCAGAGGAAGAGATTGGCAGATAACATTTATCATCTCTTAAGAAAGTTGGGATTTCCAGACTGAGTCAGGTTGGTGATAAACTTAGAGGCTGAAGGATGTTTGACCTCCTAGTTTGCATATTTTTCAGAAGAAATTTGAATCCATTTTGATTAGATTTGAAACCTGAAGAGAAGCTCATTTACATGCAAAGCCTCTTCCAGTGGTTAACTTTGTTTTTAAAAGGACAAGGCATACTGAGACTGTTATCAGTGATTGTACCTTTTGTCATAAGAAGAAAGACTAAGGGTCACTCAGAGCAGTCTGCTGCTGGCCAAAACAGAATCCTCAGGCTATATGTAGTGTTGGGGGGTGTGTGTGGGGGGAAAGGCAGCTTGGATTTAATTCCTGGATGTGCTTTTTTACCTTGGGCAATCAGGCACTACCATTCTTTTTTTTCCCTTCGCTTGACAGTATAGACTTTTCAGAGGCCCAGGTTCAGAGGAGGGCTAAAACACAAGACAGCAGCCTTCTGTCTTAGGTGAATATCTTTTTAAATAATGAGAAGATTTTAATGAGAAAACCAAAAGTTGTTTAGTCTTTACCTTTCTCAAAAGCCATTATCTTCAGGCCAGTTTCCTGGCTGCTGAGCAACACAAAAGCTGTGTTGAGAAACTCATTCCGTTTCTAAGATCTATTGCTTGGCCTTGAACCTCTAACACAAACCTCTGCACAAAGATCTTCTTAAAATAACAGTTTTCCACTTCCTCCACCTTCCTCAACCAAACACAGCCCTAATAGCAGCCAGTGTAATAAAAAGTGTCCAGCACATGAAAGCAACTTGCTAACTGTATTCAGCTCATCTCTGAGACACCCTGTGTTGTCTCACCTGTTCTGAGGCAGCAAAAAGCTCATTAGTACCAGATGAATCATGTCCCCAGGCTCAGCCAGCTCATCCAGCAGAGGTTATTGCCCATATAAAGCTGTCTTGGGCAGAAAGACCTTTGCTTCCCTCCCATTTTGCCTTACGCTGGCATAACCTATTCTACCATAGCATGTATTTCCCTGCAATGACAAAAGTCCCTTTTTGATATCACTGTGACCTAAGACATCTGTTCCTCACCACCAGTTTCCATAGACTCACTCTTTTGAAAGTGTCGCAGTTCCCAAGGCTCCAAATTATAAAGTTTGTTTGGTTTGTCTTTTTACAGAAAGGATACCCCAGGGAAAAAAAAAGATTGATGGTTTAGAACACACAGTTACTTTCCTATGCAGGAAAAGTAAACAGAGAGAAACCTATTTTTGTTATCTCGTTGAGTAGCCACTTTCAGCTATTGCAGGTAGTATTTTTTGGTGTAGTGGTTTCCTCAGTATGGCTGAGACCATGGCTCAGATTTTGTATTCCTAAACAAAAACCTTTTAAAGGTGCCCTTTTGTTTATTTATTTATTTTCTGAAGTGTTCGGAACATCTCAGTACTTCTTAGAAACACCTACCTGCTACTGATAACTTACTTTCATATGGGTAACACAGGTTTAGAAGTATGGTCTCTCAGAGAGACCCTGTGCTAGACCTAATTACTTTAGTGGGAGCCTCACCCTCGCCAGTGGCTCTGGCAAAGAGGCATTGCTGTCTGAGACCAAACAGCAATTTTAAAAGAAAATAACAACAAAACCCAACAGTCCAACACACATAATCTAACACTGGAGTTTGTGCCATGGCTCATCTGGCAGATGTTCTGAAGCGTGTGCCTCTGACTATCAGAAGTCTGGTTTCTGTGCTGTTTGCAAATGATCATTTCTGCTTTCAGTGGTGATTCTGTTCCAGATCCCCACGGGCAACGGCAATATGTTCCACTTACTTTCAGCTTTCACTGGACCAATATATTTTTAAAGTCATAGTAATTTAGAGTTATGACCAGAGTAATAAGGCTGTACCCAATCTATCCTTGGGGTTGTTTCTGGACAGCTTAGTCTTGCGCTTAGTGCTGGGAGAATGTCGGCTCCAAAGCCTCCTGAACATCTTCCTCCTGCCACACTGGAGGATTTGCAAGCCTTGTCCTTTGCCTGCCCCTGCACAGCAGCACCTTTGGGCTGCTGGCTCAGGCAACAGCACAGCTACACGAGTTGCTGTGCTAAGTTCATCACTCTGTTTTACTCCTTCGTTTATGCTCCAGAGGCAGGAGGTTTGACACTGGTCTGCTCCAGGAGCTCGGAATACAGCAATGGCACCCCCGTGCATAGATATCTAACTATCTTTTTGAGGTCTTCTTACAGCTTCCGAATTAAATTTTCTTCTCTTTAGTTCTCTGCAATGCCACTCTGGAAACTGTTGCAGCTCGTCTCTCCTCTGGCAAACATCCACCGCTCCACTGTCCCCCCATATCGTGGTCAGCTGCAGTAAAGCTGCTGAAGGACCTTCTGATTCACATTTCAAGGTACAACTGCAATCAAGCCCAGCTCAAGGCTTTCCAGCGCTACAGGCAAAGTCACCTTTGTCACATGGAGAGTAAGGGGCACAAGCCACGTGAAGCAGTTCCTGTTCTGAGTAAGGACAACTCAGAAGAGGGCATGGGGCTTGGACAGTGAGGTGGAGTTTTTGTTCCTATCACCTCCAGTGATTAGAGCACGACTGCCCACCCCAGTCAGCATCCCCACCCTGCCCATCACAGCACAGAGGCAGCTGGAGCAACACCCTCCTCAAAGGTGGCAGCTGAGACTACGGACAACCACTTGCCCCTTCCCTGCACACACTCACACCCAAGCAGCCTGGCCTGCTTGTGACAGCAGTTACACCAAAGAACGAGCCTCTCACTGTCATCCCCAAACCTGCCTCTAGCGAGGGATGGCTGCAGCCCTTCCTAATGGTAAACCTGCACTGAAACACAATTTGAACATTCATAATCTCCTATATCGGCTTCTCATACCATTAATGCCACCAGTGATGTGACCTTTCAGCAAAGTGTCAGGTACTAGCAGCAGGCTCAGGATTTCAAACTTTAATTAAAAACTGTATTTTAAAATAAAACTCAGTTTAGATGCACCGATAAGTGATTTTTCACTACGTGAAATTTCATAGGGCTTTACTGAGGAAAAAAAAATCATTGCAAGCTTCCTATTAATTTCTGGCTAGCTGGGTTTCAAGGACAATTTTATTAAAAGTGAGCAGAGCTTTCCATAATAAAACCTTTGCAGTTGTTATGACCACCTGTGCTACCTCCCACCTAGATCCACCACGTGACATAGCAAAGCTAATTTTCCCACTTCCTAGCAAGGAAATTGAGCTGTTACAATTTCAGACGATAGTGCTTACACACACATATTCTAGACTTCATTATTTTTCTGTGTGGCAAGGCCGGAGCTGGCAGAGGTTGTGTCTAAACAGCTTTAAGAGCTCTTTCTCTATGCAGAAGGGTATAAAAGTTTAGATAAAATCATTAAAGTTTCTGAATGGATATGAAAGCAAGAAAAAAGAGGGAAATAAAACTGGGTTCCTGGTTGAAGTGCAGAGCTCTGTACAGAAAAGGTCTCAAAGGAGACAATCTTAATGGATTACTGTTAATAAACATTACAGTTTATTAAACAGTTTATAAAACAAACAACAGGGTGGCACTCATCTGAACTGAAACACAAACAGGGAAATGATGACTCTTGAGGCTCACTCACCACAGATAAATTGCTTCCTGCTCTCTCCTCAGCCCTAGGTCTAGGTTTTATGAAAACACTAATTGCTCCCCACTGTCACTCTCAGCCACCAGTGACTCAGTGAAAAAGAAAAAACACCAAACAACAAAAAACCCCATACACCTGCTTGATGGGCTCCCTGTGGATCAGCCTTTTTTTGGTTGTGCCCATCTCTTTTTAATTTCACAGGGTAAAACCCATCAGTCTCAGCCACAAAGAAAGGACAGGAGAATTCACTTTAGGGAGAAACTTGGCAAGCTGAGAAATGGAAGGTAAGGGAGGAGATTATAATTTATGCATAGGGGTAGTTTACATGCTGTCTCCTCTCCATGGTGAGAATGTAGCAAGCTGTCTAATTGGAGCCTGGTTTTTGGCTCCACTTAAATTCCTCAGAAAACATTGCACTCTACAGTCTGCATAGTTAGATTTTGTAGCTTTTGGCCACAGCAGAAGCCTAATAAAAAATACAGGGATGAAGAGAGCAAGCTATTTCAGGCAAAACATTCGGGAGCAATGCAAAGAGGTCACAACTGGTGAGAATCTGCACAAAATTGGATTAGGCACAGATGAAGTATCCGGTCATCTTTCTGCCCTAATTCATAAATATATTAGCACACACAACCATCAGCGTCACATCTTGTGTTTATATCCAGCAACTGCCCTCTTCACTGGTCTCTGACAATTCTGATCAATTGTTACTGCCCTTCAAAAGAAATTTTGGTTTCAATTTCAAATCCTACCCCGGGTGTTTCCAGTAGATATGTGTTAAAAAAGGTGCAGTGACACTCTGGCAGGGGATTGGGTGGAGATCCTTCTTGCATTTGCTCAGAGCCTGTGCAATACCTACAAATGAACACTTCATTACCTAAATACTTGTTCAATAGGTTATTAATTTGAAAAAAAAGTCCTTAAAAATTTAATTCCCACTATGTAAAAACTAATGTTAAAACAGCAACAATATCTGCTAATTCAGTCAAATAAAGGGGATACCCATCCACTAAATTATGTAGTTTTGAGAATCAGATCCTAAAGATGCAAGTCTGGAAGCCCTAAAAGTTTCATAGCTGACATTGAGGGGAGCGAATTTATTGAGTGAGGACAACTCACCACCGGGCAGGGAAAAGGAAACACTGATCTTGAGTGTTAACATGAGCTGTGTCACCGTGGGCACCAGCCCCAGCTTCATGACCTCCTGTGCCTCAGTGTTCCTGCAGCCTGCAGCCAATAAATAAGAAGAATTTAAGTGTAAAGTGTAGACTAGAGGAAATCTGTATATTTTGGTAAAATGCAGTTAGGTATATGATATTTCAACTTCAGATGGGTGTTTTAGCAAACTGGTGTGAGTTACCACTTTTGAGTGAAGCTAGAAAGTGCAACTAATAATGAGGTTTAAGGAAAGACAACTTAAAGAAAACGCAGAAGGGTAAAGCCACAGCTTTGGAAGCATCCTCTCTCTGAAACTGTTTACTGAAGTCACAACCTTTATTAACTGCATTCCTTTCCTCCTAAAAGACAAAATTCAACTATAAATTATTTGGAAAGGCCAGACTCTCCACATTAATTTACTGAGGCTTTCATCCTTCTGCACAGCAGTGTATTTTTAATACTGCTCAAAAGGTATCAAGTACCTTCTTTCCAACCTATTCACCAGCTCTAAATGGGATTTGACATTACGAGGTCAGCTTTGCTTTGCCTCTTAGATGACTAACAAATTCGCAGAGACAGAGGTTCACTGTTCTCACATGGATCAATGTTCAACAGACCACTGGGTTTGATGGCAAACATTTAACTTTCAGCCATTAAGTAGAAGAGGAAATGCAGGTTGTAACAAATTACCTGGCGTCTAAACAATGTTAAAGTTGTCCATTAGGAGTGCCTGTAGACAGTGCAACAGCACATTAGTTTTAAATTGCAAAGTTCAGTCAGTGGAGTGATAGAGTTCAGATCTGAAGCGTTTTACCAAGCTGTTGAAAGGCCTGTACAGTGAAATGTATTTAAAGTGAACAAGAGTAGAATGGAAATACGTTTGGATAGTCAGAAGAATATTGCAATCCCCCTTGTCCTCCCCATCCCCTGCAAAAGCAAACAAAAACACTGAAAAGCACTGTAAACTATAATGGTAGTTATAACAAGTTTTTCTATAAAATTGTTATATTAAATTGATTTTGCTGTGTTTAAACTATGTGTGCATCATGAATAAAATATATATTTACCATGTTGATATCATAGTATGTTTTTCCTACCTGCTATGAGCTACTCTTTTCTCCTTTACACTCATATCACCTATATGTCTGTTCACATCAGCTTCCCAGTTAGGAGTAGTTTCCACCTTCAATAAGACTGGAAATCTATATAAGGCAGAGGAATACAGAGAAGGGTTACATAAAGAAGAAATACAGATAGTGGTACTATTTGGGACAGGGGTGTAGGGATGAGATCTTTCAACGTTTTCCACTTAAAAAAAAAAAGCTTCGTTGAAAACTATTTCGGACTATTTGGCAAATTTCATTTACCAGTTGCTTTTTACTACATCATGGATGAGGGAGCAACAAAAATTATATTGCTCATGAAAGGTTGGTGTGAAAAAAGTTAAAGATGCTGGTGAGAACAAGCTTCCAGAACTGATAGGAAGCATGGGTTTGTTAGTGAACTATCTGGAAATGCAGCCAGAGGCGTGATGCAGGGAGCTCTCATACGGACCAGTTACAGGTGTTTGGTTGGCTCTTGGTGTTTGCCTCCTCAGACTCCCTGCTTTGAATTCCTCTACTCCATTTTTGCTTGGCTCCAAACAGAAATCTTGTCTATTTATCTCCACTTTCAATCTGTGTTGCAGTTCCTTGAATAATCACATCCTTCTGCCACACCAGGGATCCCAAAAGGAAGCAGACCAGACTTGAGCAGAGGGTTTTTAAAACATAAATGACAACATGAAAATAGAATTCATATAGATTGCAGAGAGAGTGAGAGTAAATTATGCTTTTCTGTTTCCTAATATTGGGAGCACGTGCTTTGAGAAGAGGATGGCTAAATGTAGGGAGTCTCTTTGGAGGAAACCTGAGAGACAAAAAGCAGAAGAGAGACTGATGGAGAAAGGGACAAATGTAAGGAAAAAACAAAACAGGAATGAACCTCAAGAAACTGGAAGGAGAGAGGTAGCAGGAAGGGGAAACAGGTTAAAGAAGTTATGAAATAATTTATTTTGTACACTTTATGTGGTCAAATAATTCCACTTTGTTCACAGTGATAGGCACAAATTCACCAAGGCAATATTTGGCATAATATTGCTCCTTACAGAGGGTTTTTTTCCATTAACTACCACTGATGTTGGTTATAAATATATGAGGCAACCTCTATGCATTTTTACTACTCAAGAAAATAGCAGGTGGATAAATAAACACCAGGCACAAAACTCTCTCAGCCTGGAAGACCAGGAGAACTCCTCCCCCATGAGCACTTTTACTTGTCAACACCATTACTTCTCAAGAATGCACAAAGATATTGTCACTTGTAACTCAGTGGAGGAATTTACTCAGCTTCACAAATCTAGCAGCCAGAGGAAATAAATACCAGTAATAACATCTCTCATTTTCTTCTACAAAGACTGGATAATTTACAGACCTCATGCTCAATTTCTGCAATTATTGTGGTAATCAATGCATCAATACTCCAGAGACTCATCACTTTAGATATCCAGTATAAATGTTTAGCTTTCCAGAAATCAATTGAAAGAAAACTGCCTAAGGAAACTACCTGAGGAAAAAAAAAAACCTACATAAGAAAATTCTTACAAAAAAAAAAAAAAGAGCAAAATTCAAGCCCATAAAACATAAAAATTTTAAAACGTTAAAATTGAGCATCGTATACCAACTTTCAATATGAGCCAAAATAACTCCAAAAATGCCAGAAAGGTGCAGCTTTTAGTCACTGTGCTTGCTTTGCATTATCTTGGAGTAGGAAACATTTCACAACCAAAGGCCATAACAACGTTGCTCAGAAGGATATATCTAAAGGAAGTATTCTGACTCCTCACTGCTGTTTGTATGAAAGTTACTGTGACAGATGTTTCTGTTCTGTGTTTGTAACTACTAAGACAGTAGTTGCTCTTATTTTTACAGGAAGAAAAATATTGTTTAGCATTTTTTCAGGACCGAGGACACAATTTCAAATCTAGTGCCTGTTACTGTTGACCTCCAACTGAGTTAGAAGAAAAGGAAAATATACACCCTGAAGATCATGGAACTTCACTGCTATATATGTAGTCATCCATTATTTTTACTTGACATTAAAAGAAGATTAAGACATCCTTATTAAGATTATTCTGTGCAATTAGAACAAAGCCCATCTACCCTGAATGAGGCATTACAAAGACTTTTAGGCATATTAGTACAATGATGCCTAGAGCACAACAGAATCCTGCCATGGACCAAACCAAAGACCTCTCTGTTCTTCTTTTCTATGTACCAAGTATTTTGAATAAAAGCTTTTTTTTTTTTCCTCTCTTGATGCATGAAGCCAAAGAGCCTTCATATATATTTATGTTACTATAAGCAGAAAGCAAATGCCTTCTAAATGGAGAACAACCTGTGTCTTTTTATACTTGCTTCTACATCAGTATCTCTCAGTTTATTCATCCTGTGGCGATGAAAACCAAGGTCAGATTAGCAGCATGATTAAAAAAACAAACCTCCATAAATTTGTATTAAAATTTATCTTGTACTTCTACTTTACTGTGTGTGACACTTGTTTATTCCTCAACGAATTTGGTTTTTTTTCCACAACCATTTTTTAACAGGTAGCATGGAAACTACAGTGTTTGAGGTGACTAGTCAGCATTCATTGAGAGCATTAAATACATTTTTCTATGTTACCAGTTCTGTTTTGTTTTCCTTATTGCAATAGTCTTCCCTTATTCTCAGTAGTCTTGTTACCATTGAGCTTTTCAGAACAGCACTAAGGTCTTTTTCTTCAGTGACTAGAGGGGCACAAGAAAGGTTAAAAAATTCTTGACAATATTAGGATGTCCAGCAGAGAACAGAGCAACTTGGCAAGATGTGTAGGAGTTCCTACTCAGCCATTTCACACTTGTCAAGGTCAAGACTTCAGTTCCCCAATTTTCAGTATCTTATTCTTGACATCTTTAAGTTATACTTTCACATACCAGATAACGACACCATTCTCTCAGGAAATACTCCAGCAAGGAATGGGAGAGCACCCAGTCTCACTACTTTTAGGGTTTTTATTCTCCATCTCTCCCTGCTCTGTGAGGGGAATTGCCATCATTTCCTTGGAGAGAGTGTGAGCAATGAAGTTCTGGACTATATTTTTGCCAGTGATATCAATGGTGAAGAAGAACAATGGTACAGATGTGTCAGAGAGATATTCTTCCTGTCCTGTTTTCCAGAGAACCTCACAGTTGTTGCATAAATTAGAGTTGGTTGACGGTGTGTTGTGTTGGGACTGGGTAGCTGACAGCCTGGGTACTGGACAGCTTTCACCTGGAGTTCTAAAATTCTAAATTCAGTTTACTGGAAAATGTTGCCCTGGCAGCAGAGAAATCACAGTTGATGTAGAAATAAAAAATAATAAAAAAAAAAGATGGGGTTCCTGTGCACACAAAAAATGAGTGGAAAAGAAAGCATTAGCAGTCTATCAACACCCAGGGTAGGTTAAAGAAATAGCATATTTTCAACAGTATCTCAAAGGAATCTTAGTTATGCAAAGGCAAGAATGCCTCACCTGAAGCACCCATCCCATTTTACAACTGTCACCAGCTGGGCTCAAAAGAAATAAGTGCTAAACTCACCTCTGGTGACCTTGGTATTTGCATTTTAGAAAGAAAAGTTGTGTCATACAAGAAACCCATTTTCTTCCTTCTCTTAAACTTTTTTTTTCCCCGTGGAAACACTACAACAAAAGTCACTTTGACAAAAAATTTCCACAGGTATTTCAGCGAAATATCAAACCAGAATGTTTTGGTCAAAATTGGCAACGCATCAGTTTGCAAAAGCCAAGGCACAAACAGCTTACTGAATAACACTGGAAAAAACCAGATTGCTCCGTGACCCCAAGAAAAAAATGGCTCCACTTGAATTTTTTGGTGAGATTTCTTATTTAAGTCAGTTTTTAATAAATTTCATGAGAGTTGGAGTGGG